AATTAAAAAACAGGAGTTATCCAAACTGACATATTATATAGGTGCAAAATATTGAATGTAGCTCTGACTGGCTATTTCTAGCACAAGTATATCAGACCATATTTAATGTTATCTTTGTGATCGGATAATCCTAGTTATATAATACTATGTTAATATTGGTTAATCCTAATTATATGATACTACTATTATATATTTAGCAAGTTGTAACTTTAATTAGATTGTTGTTTTTATATGAAATTGACATTTCTCCCTGGACATTTTGATTTGATACTTTATACAAAAATATACTTGAGTGGATAGCAAGGTTTGTATCAGGCTCTATTTGTAAAATAGAGAGAGCAAGATGCAAAAACAAAAATGGGATACAATTGTAAAAACATTCAACAATTACATATTGGACGAGGATGAGCATGATATCAAGAATTATCCAGACCTCAACCTTTGGCTTCGGCAGATAACATTGACCGGTCTTGATGTCATGCGAAACCCAAATTCAATAATTGTTTTAATATGCAATTATGATGATGTTATAATGGCAGGAAAGAAAACCTTGTCAGGTGTCTCATTAAAAAATCATGTCACCAACAGGCAATTTTCAATGTTGTTTTAGGTGGATAAACATTGAGGATTGTCTGTAGTTCTTAGCCAATCACAATTGATTCTTTTGAGATTGCATTAACATTGAATAATCCAAATACTTCAAATACATTCATTTCTTAAAAGGTTCAGTGGTGGATCCGGCAAGATTTCTCTAGGGGGGGGGGGGGTGCTGGGCGAGCAGCCAAGCATACCGAACCTAGCTTACTGGCCAACAGTGTACTGATACAACATTGATTAAACATAATTTTATAATTATATATTCTCCAATTCTGGTCATACTGTTGTGTGAAAGAGAAACTTCATGAACTTATTAGTACTTTGAACTATAGTGCTAGATGCTGCCTTGAATTCCAAAATTTAATTTAATCTAAGACTATTTCTAGATTAGATATATCACTACGAAAATATGTAGATTGAGAGAGACTACTCAGTATTATAAACTAAGAACAAACCTGTGTCAACTGTTGATATGTGAAGCCTTTTTCGACCAGGTTTACTTTGGCGTTTGGACACTTCAGAGCACACTAATTTATTTCTTGTCATCCTTTTGGGGCGTACTTGCCATTGGATAACATCCATCTTCTTCATCTAGATATAAAGTATTTAATATAGGATACACTGCTTAGAATCTTCAATCTAAATATTAAAGGGATATTAAAGTGTCACACCACAATACAGGCGGCCATTTTATGGGCCGACTACAACCCAACGTCTTTTGTATCAATCCGTCGTATATTTAAGCCATCCTTTGTGAATCCTTGCTGCTTTTATATAATTCTTACTGGCAATGTACCATATATGATATTTTAAACTTTATTTGTTGATTTTGGGAGAGATAAAAACAATAACAAAGCCATGATACTATGACGTATTCTGTCGCTATACAGATATGTAAAACATGCCGTCAATACCGGCAAATGCGACATAAATATTGCATAAAATTCATTCAACTTACCCTCGATACTTATCGCTGCTTTCCGAGTCGTTTCTTGCCTTATTTCAGCCATACCCGAGAACCGCAGAATCGACCCGAGAAACGCGCATTATATGCACTGAGCTATAATATTACTGGAGGAGCTGCTCCTATCTTTCCGCCAGTCATTCAAGTGAAGCCAAAAACATGGCGGATCTTACGCCATTGCCATGACTACTGGTTCTTATTTCTCATGGTAATTACCACTGACCAACCGCGATCCTACGCTTTAAATAATATCTTTCACCCCCCTGGTTTTTTTCACAAATATGAAATATTTTGGTTTTATAGTTTGTCTTTGAACTGAAAATCTTGATATTTTTCATCAATTTTGTCTGTTTTACAAAGTCAGGGAAGACGGTGCATTTTTGCTGTGCCTGTTATGGCTCTAAAAGGAGAATATTACCGGTAAGATTCACGATTTTTTTACTTTCTCGCTTGGCAACGTTGCCATATATTTTTAACACTCGTGGATATCTCAAAACCTGATGCTATATTAAAACTGCGAGTATTACTAGTTTCAGCAGTGTTTTCATTTCTACATTGACATTGTAGTTTTAAGCAAGTTTTCCTGGACAAACTCTTTCCTGTCTTGTTTTATTAAACTCATTTCTTGGGTTTCACGGTGCTTCGGCTTTGTTTTTAAAATTGTTTATTGATTTAGGTTTTTAAGTGCTAGTTTTGCCAGGTTTTTGAAATAGCAGCTATCTACTGTGTAGCTTTGTATTTTATACAGGACATGTAGGGTGTGAGTGCACAGCCAACCTTTCCAGCACTTCCAAAGCATCCAGCACTTCAGCATCAAGTAGTTTATATTATTTAACCCATTGAGGGCCAGAACGTTTAACTATAGACACATGAGCAGATAGCCTGATTAATCCATTGAGGGCCAGCACTCACCCCTTGATGAGTAAAATAACCTGGCATTTGACAGAGTGAAACAGTAAAGTAGGGTGCATCAGGACACAATGCGACTTACTGGGTTAAACATGAGTTTTATGATTTGTAGCACTACCCACATTGTATTATTAACCCGTTAAGTTGCAATGTGCCCAGATGCGCCCTACATTATTATTTTACTCTGTCTAACGCCGGACAATTTTACTCGTCATGGGGTAGGTGCTGCCACTCAACATATTTAGGTTAATTCCGATCTTCGATTTAGCTGGAATGACCCAATACATGCCATTTGCTACTGTAAAATTGTAAACATGCCGGATTTTTTTTATCTAGGCGCTGATACTGAAATGTGAAAAAGAAAGCCACCCGAGGTCTTAAATGTTCAAATATCAAGAGTGGTGTTGTAGACATCAGACATGTAGTGGTGCACCATATGTTAAAATTAAATATTGTCCAACTTACAAAAGTAAGGGCCCTGGCCAGAATTCCTGCCTGAACTGGAAAGATAACTTCATTTTATCATTGCTATCAGACTGTGATAAACATAGAATCATGTTATTGTCAGTAGTGTTTTTAAATACAATATGAATGTTTACAGTTATAATTATAACTTGTATGGTTGTATATATAGTTTGTAAAACTTGTTCTTGCTGATTTATAATTATTCTTTTAAGAAGGTATAAACAAAATAGTGAAAACCCCTGGGGGTAATGTAGGGTAAAGGAGGGAGGGTATCTATTTATCTGTGAATTAATGATAATTTATTTCAAGCACACAGGGCTGATTGACTGCAGGGGGTCTAACATCCCCGGGTCCAATCTTTTCAAATGTGTCCCCCAATTTTTGGAGGGCCACTGGTTTGTCAGTTTTTACTGTTGTGTCTACCCTCCATAAATAAAGAAGTTGATATAAATAATAATAAAATGCCAAAATGCTGGAATTGCCAAACATGTGAATTTTTTGGGAATGTTGTGCAAAATTCAGAGGCCAATTCTATAAAGGTTATGCTGAAAAAATTTTAATTAATCTTTTTTGCAAACAACGGTTTGGGAAAAGAAACAATTACCCCTCGCCAAACTTTTGCGAATAATTTTGGGGACCCAAAAGGCGAAGGGGCCCAAAGTTCTGTATTCACCCTCCCAGAGATGTGTCGGCTGGCACGGCCCTGCAAGTACAATACAATTGTGTTTTGTGTGAGCCAGAAAATAAATAAATCTCACCAAAACATGTCTTTTTGTGTGATAAATGATGTCTTAATAAAGAATGTTTAATAGAGAGGGGGCTCAACAATTTTTTCATCTATATTGTGGGGGGGTGGGGGGGTATTAGAGTGGGGGGGGGTGAAGTTTAACAGGGAGATTACAGTAGCAAACTCAAACCTTTATTGCAGGTTTTGATGTATGATGCAACTATCTGGATTTAGATAAGTCTTTGTTCAAAATGTACACATTGATTCTCATTTTTTCAAATGGTTATGTACATTGTACACTCAAGCCTGCAAATTTTATATGGGAGCATCTGCTATGGGAGTATCTCAGTTGCTGAGACAAGAACCAACATGTTTAATTCAAGTTTGGACCAGAGTTCAGTTGACCAGTAAATGAACAAAAATTTCAGCCAGAGCTGCAAGTGATTTTATTAGACAATTTATAACCATATTTATAGCCATTCCTATATAATACAATTTATATATAGTACAATTTATAATCTGCCTGGCATATATTTTCCAGGTTTTAACCTAAACTGAGATCCAGTGGTGAGTGGACCCCTACAAACTATCTTATTTACTATCAACTGCACACTGGCACACAATAATCAAGAACGGAAATTATCAAGCCAACACACCATTGCCCAGAAACCTAGGTAAAAATTGTGTTACCAGGTCAAGTGCCCACAGCACCATGTCGGCTTCTCCTGGCACCCTTTCAGCACCCTCATGCCACTTTCAACTTATCGCCAAAATCAACTCACAAGTTCACTGTGAATGATTCCATGCTTCCATGTAAAGTGGGGGAGAATGACGATTGGTTGAAAACACTAGCAAAGGTTATGTTGCTCTTGCAATGAATGGAAAAGAGGCCTCAGCTTTATATGACATGTCAGATGTTAAAGTTTCTTGACAAAACACTGATTTCTTTGACACCCTAGATCCCTCTTTTAAAGATAGTAAGTACATAGTAGTTTCATGCATGTCTTCACACCTGTAAATAAAAGTTTATACTCAGCAAATCTGCCAGATAAATAAAAGTTTATACTCAGTTTATACTCTTCCTTTGATACAAATAAAAGTTTATACTCAGCAAATCTGAATAGTATGAAATTCAAGCATGTTAAATTTGAACCCATTGCGTTTGTCGGTTTGTGGGAGGAAGTGTGGTGAAATATCTCTACATTTGTACGACAAGACTTAAATAATCGTGGCTAAAATATTCATTATATTGTACAAAGCTTCTCATGCTAAAAAATAAATGCATATTATATTGTTTTTCAATAGTATTTTTACCTGGCTGTGCTGTATTATTTAAATAGCTGCGCCTCTTGCTTCAAATATCGTCTTTGCCAACATTTTGCAAGGCGTTTGTTGTCTTTCCCGGACGTTTACGACTTGTATTTCTTTGAATAGATGGTCGCAGGTCGATAAATATGTAAAAATATCAAAAACAACGGGAATTCACTGCAAAAACTCGAAAAACCTATGAATATTTTGGAAAAAACCAGGGGGGTGTGAAAACTGCAGCGGGCTCAGAAATGAGCCTGGTCAGTGGTATTTTCATGGCCAAAAGGAACCAGTTGCCATGGAAATGGCGTCAAAATCCGCCATGTTTTTGGCTTCACTTTTTTATCCCGAGCACGTCCTCCAGTTATAGTATAGCTCAGTGATTATATGGCAGAGTCTTGATTACATTTTGTCAACCATCGATCTCACCCCCCCGTCGCGCACCACTAAATATCCTTTACTATCCCTACAAATCCTAAATAATTCAGACTCTGCGGAGGAGAGTGCACTTGAAACGTTCCTTCAGACACGTTTTCGTCAAAAGTTTTGAAGTATAAAAATCGAAACATAATTCGACAGTGCAAGAGGCGCATATTTATATGGTAAGAACATGAGGGTAAGTCTAGTTGCGTGTTTATTTCGTGTTCGTGGTACACGCGAGAACAACTCACTTAGTCACAGACCACAGTAATTTTCAAACATTCTTACAACTAAATATTGATATAAAGATCATGTATGATTTCTCTGCAAATTTGCAGCAGTAATCAATGTTTTAAGTAATCGCAATAGGTATGTACCTGCCAACGGCTTTATATATTTCATTTTCGCAAACTTTACCCACAGTCTACACCGTCAAGGAAGTTTGCACTCGCTGGTTCCCAATTCCTTCGATCAAGGGACTGTATCTATCGGTTATATATTTTCTTTATTATAATTGCGTTACAACATTTGAACAATTCTCTAAATACATCAATTCAATCTAGATTCAATCTCAAACTTCTCACTTCGAACTCCGCTCTTACATTTTACAACTCTATTTACAATATTAGCTAAGGTCTCTGAGCCAAAGCATTAACGCGCGCATTCCTGAGGTTTCCGCGCTTGGCAGCCAATAAGCGGGGTTTGCTGCGTTAGCTTCTT